GTGTGTGTGTGTCTGTGTCTGTTGTGTGTGTGTGTGTGACTGTGTCTGTGTGTGTGTGTGTGTGACTGTGTGTGTGTGTGTCTCATTTATAAAATGTTGCGCAGAAACCATCCTAAATTTGATCTTATGATCATCTCTCAAATATGCGTGTGTGTGATTCATAGACTGAACGTCCGCATATAAAATGCACGTACGCCTCTCTTTCAGATGAATCGCAAATGATCTTGAACTTGCGCGTTTTAGCTCTCTGCCTTGTAAACGACTCCTAATTAATGTCATTAATATATAAAAGATAACCAATTATCAGAACAGCGAGCCGCAAGACAGCTTACATTTCCAAAAACCTGCAGTACTCCGACAAGAAAAAGTGCGTTCGTCTGCTCAGACCCTGACGTGACGCTAAGCACTTTTCCACATCAAAGCCAGTTTTTACAAACATGAGTGCTGCGTGGATTAAAGCGTACGCACACTCTAAGATCAACACACTTTATAAATGAGCCCCCATGACAATTCAGTGCTTTTCTAATTAATTAATACAATTTTAAAAATAGTTTGTTATTGACAATAAAATGGGGCTGATGTGATCATATTTTTGGTTTCTAGTTAAGTACTCAAGCTGCTACATACACAACTAGCTGAAGCTTATTTATTGAGCAGGACATTGACCGAGGACATTTACCCAGTAATGCGTTACAGTAGTAGTAGTAGGGTTGCAAAGGGGTGGAAAATTTCTGGAAACTTTCCAAAAATCCCTGGAATATTCCCAAAAAATCCTGGAAAGTTTCCCAAATTTACTGGAAATTTTCCACCTTTTTGCAACCCTAATTAACAACCATAATTTTTCAGCATCTGAAACACTAAACTTGTCATAATTTAGCAATATTTCTAAGATGGAGACTGCTGTTCTACAGTACATGTGATTTTCAAAGGACCGATTGCAGTCAAACGAGAGCGGTACTAGATGATGTAAAAATACATCCATCAAGACTCAAATTAATAAACTTGCATCTTATTTTTTGAGGTTTTGGACCAATAATTGCTTACAGTAGTGTCTTGCGATGAAGACGAGAACAGTGACAGTGTAGTGGTGATAAAATGCATGAGGAAGATTAGAGAAGAGCAGTATTAAATATGAAGAAGAGGAGAACAATGATGAATGGCAGTGGGAGCAAGATGCAGTCACTATCCTTATCCCTGAGTCTCTAGAACTGCCAGATCTGCTTGGAATGCAACATGAAAACATGCTGAAATTGTAAAACTTGTTCAGTATTCTGCAACGTATTCTGCAAGTTTTCCAGCTCATCCAAGAGTGTTTTTTAAACGATTAAGTAGCCAGGGTTAATGCCACTTTAACAAATATCAATAAATGTCAGTGAACTCTCTAAATTGAACCCAACAGTGATCTGTGTTCTAATGATATGTGCACTTATGATACTTTACAGTGGCAAAACTTGGGATGACACATGGGAGCCTGCCAGCGAGTTCCAACATGTTTTGCCCGAGTCTCCACATCCCACCCAGCTTTCACCATGACAGACTAGTCACCATAAACACCTGGACTCGTCAAGCACACTTCAATTCTGAGTGTTTGTTGTTGTTTTGTTTTGCTTGCTGTGCTTTATTAAAGTTTTTGCACAGTGCATACATTATTTTAGTATTTTTTTTTTAAAGAGTGGCATTTTAAACACCTTTTGCATTTGTCATGAACTGCGTAACAGCCAGGTAGTGTAGCATGGAGAGGTGTTTGTTATAATGGCATTATTTTTAAAGATTTTTGCAGTGCATAGTATAGGTAAGTTTACATGTCTTGTCTGTTTTGTCAAACATGAATAAATACACCCATATATATATATAATAACAATATATTTGGTGTTACATATTTCCCATTTACATATTTGTTTCCATGTAGCCAAAAATATAATTAATTTATTAATAAGAATGATTATTTAAATTGTTATATTTCACTAAAACTGATTGCTTTTATTTGCATACAATTTTATAATGAACTGCTATTTTCATGTCTTTAATTTCAAGGTGAGAGAGGATAATGTACTACATTTGTCTTTAACGTTTGGCATTGATATATTTTGGGAAATGAGTACAAAATGTGTTCATTATGTATCTATATATATATATATATATATATATATATATA